TGTAGTTGAATGTAAATTATCAATCAGTCATCTAAAATCTCACTTTAGTCCAATTTAGGCTTTTTGGTTATCAATACACAATCCATGCTCTAAAATGTTTGCAAATCAGGCATTCCTGATTAAAAGAGATTATAATTTTTTCTTTTTAATTTTGTGCCTTAAATCACAAATTTAACAAATATACTGTGTGCTATTATAGAAGCTAGCACAATATACACAAAAATGTATAGTATACTATACATAATTAATAACCTTAATTCAAATCTGAAAGAGTACAAGAAGCATGATTGGGAATGTTAAATAATTTTATAATTGAATATTTTCCGGATAGAAAATTTAAGTAACAAAAGTAGAAGCAAATGACGATTCAATGTTCAAATCTACTTCTTTTAGATTTAGCATAAAGATGAAATATATTCCCTCTAGGTGGCAGCAAATGAAATCTTTTAAAATATTCGTACCTCTAATAAAATAGAGGGAAAAACAAATCCTTATTGTCAACTAGGCTCTTAGGAGAGAGCTAAGAATTTAGGCAGAAACAGCAACTTGCAAACTGTGTTGGCAAATCAAAGAAACTGTACCAAACTTCTCGTGATTACAGACTGTATTAATCTCCTGATGTCGAAATTTTAACACCAGTTCTTCCACAAACTTATGTTGTAAGATAATACCACAGACAAACTGATGTAACAGTAACCTGCTGTTACAGTTTGGGTATGATTTGAGTATATTTAAAGGTTCAAGTGCAAGATGCTTGGCCCACAGTGTCGTGGTGTTGAGGAGGTGGAAGGTGCTTAGGTCATTGGGTCTCTGTCCTTGGAGGGAGCAGAGAAAACTAGGGAAGCCACACTCACTGCTGCAACAATCCCCTCTCCTCTCTCAGGACTCACCCACTCCTGAGACAGTGGCCTCGCTCCACCCCTCTCTTGTGTGCTGTGATGCCATTCAGCCTGTTACAACACCACAGGAAGGCGTTCCCAGATGCAGCCTTCTGACCACACGCTTCCCAGCCTCCAGAGCTGTGAGAAAGACATTGTTCTTCTGTATAAATTTCCAACTCATGCTATGATGTTACAGAACCAGAAAAGATTCTAAATACAACTTTAATTTGCTCTTTTGCTTTATGTCTCCATTTTTCTTTGTTTTATTTAAAGTTGAGAGCAATTTCTCTCCTCTTAATGTTTTAATAAGTGTCAAAATGATTTCCATGTTTTTAAAATATTTTACTTGTTTTCAAAATTGCAGCATGTAACACAGAAATCATTCTGAATTGTTTTAAACCAGACTTTATTTTTAAAGTCTATTATTTCTTACAAGTGTACATTCCCCTTAAAAGTCCTCCTCATCATCTAACTTCTCACCTCAGTTCTCTCAGTTTATTCTGATGTCCTTTGTTTCCACAAAGATTTCAATTAGGAAGGAATTCTGGAGCATCTAAATATTGTCTTGTTCTGTTTTCAGCTCTTTTCTTCTCAGAGTAGTTGGTTGTCTAAGAAGCCGATTCAGGAAGACATAAAACTCATTGTTACAGATTTTTACTTTCTTTGAAAGATATCTTAACCCTTATTTTTAATATATGTAATGGCAAACGTTGATTTAGGCACTCACGTGGCCATCATTATCTTCTCTCTCACCTGTTATGTGAAAATCTTCCGATATATTTTCTCCCTTAACTGAGTCATCTTCTACCTACTATTCCAGGGTTTAACTTGCAGAGAGCTGCACATACTTTTTTTTTTTTAACATAGAGCCTAATGATATTAATAATTTGAAAAATGATTATCTTGTTTATATACTATATGGCATGAGTGGGAGAAAACACAAAATATTGCTTCTGGTTCTCAGAATAACCCAATAGCTTAATTAATATCTTCAATTTATAAAAGAGGAACTAAGGATTAGAATGTTAAAAGGAGCTATCCCAAATAGTAAGTAAGCTGATAAGATGAATGCAAAGTCTATACTTCATTCACTGCATATGATATGTTTTGTTTTGTTTTATTGCTAACAAACTTTCCATTACTCATTTAAATGCTTCTCTAGTTATTGGCCTATGTAAGTTTTCTGTGTCTTTATGATTCAGCTTTAGTAGGTGATATATAAAAATTCATCCATTTCTTCTAATTTTTCCAATTTTTTTTGTCTATAAGTTGTCATTATAGTTTCTATGATCCTTTGCATTTCTATGCTATCCATTATAAATTCATTTCATCTCTGATTTTATTGATTTTGCTCTTCTCTCTATAGATATTATTTTTAGTTTTGCTGAATGTTTGTTGAGTTTGTTCATATTTTCAAATGCCAACCCTTCATTTTGTTCATCTTTTGTATTTCTTTTCATCTCCATTTATTTCTGCTCTCATCTATTCTTTCTTTCTTTCTTTTTCACTATATCCTAGTTACTTTTCTTGTTGAGAAAAAATACCCAACACCCACAGGTTAAGGGAGGAAAGGTTTAGTTCATAGTTTGTAGAGGTTTCAGTTCATATTGGCTGGCTGCAAGGCAGGGTGGCTTTGCAGAGGAGAAACAGTTCATGGGGGGCAGAAGGTAGAAAAGCCACAAGGGATGACTGCAGCTCTTTCTATCCCTTATATCTTATCTGTGCTACTTAGGGCAGGTAGCACTCACAGCCTTAATCCTACTGCCTTGATCCTAGCATTGCTCCATGAATCTATTCCAGCATCAGACACTCTGGATCCAGCTACCTCTGAAAAAGCCCTAATGAAGCATAAGGCTTTGCGGGGACATCTAGACACAAGCCATAACACACTAATTTTAAATTCGGCATTCCTTGCTTTTCTAGTTACTTGAGCTGCATAATTAGGTTGTTTATTTGAAATCTGTTTTTCTTTTTTATGTAGGTGCTTGTTTTTATAAACTTATCTCTCTGTACTGCTCGTGCAATATCCCACAGGTTTGGTATGTTTATTTCCATTAAAAAAGTTTTTTTAAAAACCAGTAATGTGCTTCAATAAGTTTTCACTTAGGACTTGCTTTGTAAGGCTTTCTCAACTACTAAAAATTTACAAATTAACATTGACCATGCCATTATTACTTGTTCAGCCATTGGCATGATTTCATTTTAAAATATATATGTCACTTTAAAAGGGAAAACATATTCATTATCAACCTCCTCTACCCTCTCTCACTCCTCTTCCATCAGTGCTCACTCCCCCAGCCATAGTCAGTCATTAATCCATTTTCTCTATGTACAGATTTGCCTATGCTAGACTCTTCATACAAACAGAATCATACAACATGGTGTCTTTTGTGAATCGCTTTTTTCAATCAGTGTAATGTGTTTGAGATTCATCAGTGGTGTAGCAAGAACCAGTGCTTCATTCCATTTTGTTGCTGAATGAGAGTCCATTGTTCAGATATACTATATTGTGTCCATTTGTTACATTATGGGCATTTTGGTTTAGTCTAATTTTGATAGCTATAAACAGTTCTGCTGTTCCATTTGTGTGTAAGTTTTCATCTGTTTTAATTTTCGTTGATCACATATTTCAGCAGTGGAACTGATGGGTCTTATGGTAACTCTATGTTTCACATTTTGGGGGATTTTCCAACTGTTTTCAAAAACCTGTATTTTAAACTCCTACATGCCACATTTGAAGGTTTTAATCTCACTACTGGTTATTGTCCTTGGTCACACTGGTTATTGTTTTTCTTTTTCATTATGGCTGTTGTGTGGATATGATGTAACATCTCATTATTGTAATGCCTGCAGTTGGCATTTAAGAATTCATTAAAATTTCAAATATTCCTATTTTCTTCTCTGATTGCTCTTTGTTGGAGTAAATTTATCTGTTATTTTTGTAAATATAGCTCTCTAATGGGCTCAGAAATACAGTATTTATGTATCCAGCTTTCTTGTTGTTGACTTTAAATTGGGAGGAAATATGGAAAGGCTGCCTGTGTTTTGAGTAGAAGTGAAATTTCTAGTATCACTTATTTTTAACAGAGCTCTTTTCCCCACTGCACCCAGGCAGTGGCTAGTATGACACCAAAGGACAAAAATAAGGATTTTCATCCTTTTCCATCCCCCCGCTCCTCAGAATTCTGTTTTCTTTATGCTTCTTGATGTTATGAAGCAATATGAGGGGCCACCGAAGTTGAGCTTGATGACCATGGAAAAAGCTAGGATGTAGCTCTTAATTATGGAGTGAATGTCCCTTTGACAAGACTCTTACTGATGGGCATATAGCTTTGTTGAATCAAGCTCAGGCCTCACATTAGTAGTTTTAGGTGGTTTTTCTCCTTGTCTACCAGGCTGGCACTTTCTCAGCAGCACCAAGACTTGTTGAAGAGCTAGGTTGTTTGACAACACATCTAATCCCTAGGGAGGAGCATGGTTTCATCTCTTCTGGAAAGCCATCCTCTCCACACGTATAGATTAAATAGCTTATAGTTAGTCTAAGAAAAGGAAACCAATAAAACATCATGTTTTGATATAAAACAAGTTTCACATCCTGTAATGATGCCTTTACAGTCTTTCCCTCCAGTGGGATTTTTACACCTGGGAAAATAAATCATCCTATGGGTTCCATGCCTACAGTTAGGGAGGAAAATAATAATCCTTTCAGTTCTGTGGTAGAAATAAAGTTTCTAGAACAGTATTTTATTTGTATGAAACCTTTTATTTAAGGGCACTCATTGAAGTATTTTTCTTTTCTGATCTCTTTTCTTTGTGTTGGAAGTATTTTTTCCACTTCTGATATTTTCCTGGTGCTTCAGCAAATTTCAGTTTGAATCAAGTGGGATGATGTAGTTGGAAAAAATGCCACAACAAGGTAAATCTGGGAGAATGACAATTTCATGGTCCCAACTTTACACATTTCTCTTTCCTTGCTTCCTAATGAGTATGAAATAAATACAGGAATTCTTTGACCTCATTAACATTACTCTAGTACTCCCCGTCTGGGTTGGCAATTAGCAGAATCAAGTTCTAACTTTTTGTTTTGGTTCGTTTGCCGTTTCCCCTCGTGGAGGAGGAGGAGAAGGGAAACAGCCATAGATGTTGTTCCAGGGCAACGGTCAGTCCCTGCGGCAGACGTTTGCCTCCTGCCCAAGAAACAACGTTCGAGCTGGAGCTTGGGGAGCACCAGTCCGGTCCGGGCGTAGCCATGCAGCGAGTCCCCAACCTGCGCCCTGTGGCCTTGAAGGAGGAAGAGAAATCTGGGCCTCAGCTCTCACAGACTGCTAAGGCCCTGGAGGCTGAAGAGGAGGAGACGACCAAGACCTCTAGCAAAAAACCCCCGTATCTAGCGATGTTTCCCGACGCCATGATAAAGTTTACCCGGGTCTCAAAAGTGAAGACAGCCAAGCTTTCGGTTCTCAAGAAGCCACAGCTGGCAGCGGATGACACTTCGGAGGGGCCCTGTGGCTTGGTCTGCATAACTATCGCCTGGTGTCAGCGTTTTAACAGCATTCGATGGTTTATGGCTTTCTACTGCGCCCTGCTCCTATCTCAAGGTGAGCCTGAGGGCGGAGACCTTCTGGTGAGGGAAGAGTGCTGAGGTGGACCCCGGGCTGTGGACGCAGCGGTGCGCAGCAGGTGCTCCGTGCCGGCCCGGCCCTGGGCCCGAGGGAGGCCGTGTTCTCTGACAGGCTCTTCACTGGGATTGGGGCCAAGGCAAGTTAACCAGTCGCGCCCGTGTCCATGCCCCGCCTTCTCAGGTACTCTGTGGACAAGGTCCTCTCTACATTTTGGGTGATAGGGCTTTGGCCCCCAGATAGTCAAGTGGAGCGATGTCATTTAGCTTCCTTTGGTTACCAAGTCTTAAGTTGGAGTCAATCTTTTGGACGCGAAAATAAAGTTGAAAACAGTGTGTGTGTGCGTGTGTGTGTGTGCGTGTGTGTGTGTGTGTTTGATCTTCGGATTGATTCTGCCCACAATTTTGAGACACTGGATAAACCACGTTTATCCAGATGTTGTTCTCTTGTCTGTAAGTTGAGGCAGAGTGCTGGGGCTTCAAATAGTCTATACCAGAGAAGAAAATGTGAGGGTGTTTATTTTTGCCTACACTGTTTGAAGAAGGTGAGTTTCATGCCTAAGATGGGCCGTGAATTGAATTGGCCGCAGCTCTCATCATTTGGTCTGTATCCAGATTTTCTCTTTGCCTCTTTAAACTGATGGCACAGAAATCTGCCAGACCTGCTCTCTTTTTGTTCACCAATGCTATGCTTAAGTGTGCACAAGAAAAATGCTACAAAAGAAAAGAACCATTTGAAAGCAATAAAGAAGTGGTCATTAGTTTGTCTTGAGGTCTTCCCTGATTTTTGCAGAAGTCATTTGACTTTATGCCTTAATAGTTAGGTACCATTCTGCTAGGCAGCAATGTTGTGAAGGAGCAGTTATTTAGTAAATAAATGAATGGAAGTCTTTGGGGACATACCCTTGAAGAGTATTGTGGAACTTCAGCACCTTCTTCTTTATTTTTATTCTTTCACTTCCTATCTGTAAATACAGGACCATGGTGTCTCACCTCACTATCAGCCTCAAAACAATATAGCCAACTGATCATGGACTGGAACCTCTGAAAATGAACATTTTCTCTTTATAAGTTAGTTATCTCTGGTATTTGTTGCAGTCATGGAAAGCTCTTAATACAAGAAACTGGTACCAACAAGTGGGGTCCTTGTAGTTAATGTATACCTGCTGATGTAGCAAAGACTTCAGAATTGGTTTGCAGGAGGAATTCACAAAGATTTGAAGGAAGAGAATAGATGAAGCCTACAATGCTGTAAGTGGGGCAGATGATTCTGGTAGAGGCTCAAAAGACAGGTAAGCAAATACAAATGAGAACAGTGAAGGTTACGTTGATGAGGTTTCGAATGAAAGTGATGGTTCCATTGGTAACAGACTAAAGGCTTTCTGTGTCATACCACAGTAATTAATTTGGATGCATTTTGATAATACCCTGATACTTTCAGGTTATTAACTTTAAGTGACAGAGGACATTTCAAGGCAGCATAGCACTCAAGCAACGGCATGAGAATAATTGGATGCTTTTAGCTAAATTTACAGTGAGAATCAAGAGTAAATAGGAGCATGGCAAAAGATTTAAAAATTTTATACTTTGGCTGGTAAAGGAACATGTTTACAGGATCTGCTAGGGAAGGTTTGGTTATTAGGGCCACAAAAAGGACCCAAGTGCTCTGCATAGGAGGAATATTGGGAAAGATTCCTGGAGGGAATCTTAGAAATTGGCAAGGCTGCAGCCAATATAGGCTCAAAGGTGTGAACATAGAAATTTGTTTCAAAGACTTTTATTTTTTTTTAAAAAAGCCCTGAGGTGTCCTGCTTTGTTCAAAAAACAAACAAACAGGGAATAATCTCCCTGTGTTTAGCCAGCAAGGTACTCAGAAGCTGTTGCATGCATGATTCAAGTGGGCCCAGATATAACTTGTCCTGGTGACAGACGTTGGCACTGGTGTGATGCTGGTTTTGTAAGCATGCAGAATAAAAGAATTATGATGTCATGGAAATTTCCACTAAAGTTTAAAAAGGAAGCCTTGGGAAGCCAGGAAGTGCATTGCAGGGTTGGTGTCCCTAAAATACCTGGTGACAGAGCAATGTGTGAATCTGTGAGAGTGAAGCAGAAGCTGCAGAGGAGACCACCAGAAGAAAGAGATGACAACAATGTGGAACGACTCAAGGGAAGCTGCACAGAATATACAAGCCTTACGAGAGAGGCTGTGTGATGTTCAGCATAGCCATAGAGGCAAGGCTGCCCAAGTTCTTGAGTCTATATCAATCATATTATGCCTCAGATATTGGAAATGAAGGTTTAAGATTTCATGTTCTTCCTGCTAGACTTCAGGCTAATTTGGCCTGAACCCTTATTATTTTCTTGTTACTTACTTTTGTTACAGGAGTGTGTGTCCTCTGCCTCTTCCATAATTGTATCCTGAAAGTATGTAACCTCCTTTTCGATTTTTATAAGGGCTCATAACTGTGTTTGTCTTACGTCTTGCCAGTATTATACTTATTAACAATTCTGGAACAGTTCAGACCTGGTATTCTTGAAAAGGTGATGTATTAACCAGCTTTCCCACCACTAAGACACAAAACCAGCTACCCACAAATTAAAGGAGGAGAGATGTAATTTGGCTCATGGCTTCAGGGGATTCATCCATGGTCAGCTGGCTTCAAAGCAGAAACACAGTGGTGGAAGGGCACAATGAAACAAAGCTGCTTAGTTCATGGCTGCTGGAAAGCAGAACGGGGAATAGGGCCAGAGGGGAAGGGGTGAGGGGCCAGATACGGTAACCAGGGTTGTGTCTCCATGACCCATCCAGACACGCCCAGGTGTGTGCTATACTATTCTCCTTAGTGTCTTCCAAGCTGACCAAGTTGACAGAAACAATCTCAACCATCACATAGACTTAAGGCATTTTGCATTGTTAAGTGAATATGGATCTCTGAGGGTCAGGGGAAGAAGGCAATAATTTGGATCTTCTAAGTCCCTTGAAGTCCATGGGATAGTCTTGCTCTCCAGGCTGGAAGGGTAAAACTCTTTTGCTTGATGATTTTTTTGAAGGGAAAATAGCAGTGAGAATCGTTCCTATGAAAAAGACTCTGACCTCTCTGTTTCTCAGCTTCATTGTTTATCTCCATTGGCCTTCTCACTGGAACTCTTCTGAATTTTTAAGTGACTTCCAGAAGCATCTGTGAGCATTCCTAACATTGGAATGTAAGCCCTAATTCTTAAGCCCTCTTTTTCAAGCCTTGTGAGATTCATTCTCATTTTCTTATTAAACTAAAACTGATAAACTTTCTTGGCAGAGAATATGATTCCTTAAAGATGTAATATTTGGACTTTTTGTCTTATCTGATGTTTAAAAATTAATTTCATTGTTACACTTTAGATGTACATAATGATCACAGTCATCATAGGAAATTTGTACCTGTATATAGTATATCTTGATTCCGATTAGATTTTAAAGCACGAATGACCTTATTGCTAGTGCAGATACAGAATGAGAGTTCCTTCCTGTGAAATGCAGTGGCAGCATAATTGTTTAAATTAAATTGACTGAAGTCACATGTTTAAGGCAAAGCTTACCTCCTTGGCTTTCTTTTATTTTCTGGATCTTGTCCCCTTAAATTTTAATTGCTTGGTTAACTCTTACATGCCTCTAAACAGATACAGAATATTCTTTTTGACATTTTCATTTTCAGCGGGATGGGTATATTGAATTACTGAATTTAATATTACTTGAAACATAATGAACAGATTGGCAAATTATATCAAAGGGGAATGTTCAACTATATCTCAATATTTTGTATCTTAAAAGGCAATATTTGAAAAGTTAGTTTGTGCTAAACCGGGAGGATCGTACAACGTCATTCTTGATGATTTTGCTTATCTTTGCTTACTCGATTGATAACATTTTGAATATTAATTTTTTTGGATATATTTCTTTGTTTTCTTATTTTATTTACTTGATCCTAGTCACTTGATAGTTGACGTAGTACAGTGATAATCATTATAATAGAATTCTACTCCTCATCCTCACGAAGTGCTCCTGTGCTTCATTTATTGAATTGCCTTGCGGTATGGGGAACCTGTTTAACTTAGTATTTAAATAGGTTTTCCGTGTCTGCCCTTACCTGGGATAATTACAGCTTATGTTTCTTGTCCCACGATTCTTCTCCCTCCCTTTTTGACACATTATTAAGTTTATTTAAATAACCTGGGCTGGATTTACTGAGGGACTTGTGGATTCTATCCTGCTCTTTTTTTCATAGTGGGTAAAATTATGTAAGATGAACAGAGGTCTTATTTTGACATATACTGAAGTCTAAAAGACAGCCAACAATAGCCTATCTGTTTTTATACCTTTTCTATATGTAATGGTGATAAAAATTTCCTTTTAGCGACGATGTGAAGAGCTTTTTTTCTGATAAATGAAGTGATCTGAATCAAACGCCTAAAATGAACTCTCCCAATACTGCACTGGAATATTGTGTCCTCACTGAAATAGGTATTTATTTTGGATGTGGGCTCTGCTTTTGACATCAGGGTTTTGCAAGCACTACCATAATTAGACTTAATAAATGCTTTGTGCGTCATTGTGATCCTATTAACCATCACATTGGTTCTAATCTAGGAACTCATTTTATAGCAAAAGAAGCACAGCAGGTGGTTAATGCTCAAGCAATCACTGACCTCACAACATATCTCAAAATACAGAAGTGCTTGGCCTTTACAGATAATTATAATGTCCTGTGGGCTTAAGACTGCAGCTGGGACAAAATCAACATATTAAGGATGCTGTCCCACAAGATGAAGAATGTGCGTTGAGATAGCAATTTATGTATGTTATTTGGGATCAAGAGGTACAAGAGGGCTAAATTGTGGGAGAAAGAAGCTATTAATACAAAACTGTGGTCTCATAACAATTTGGTGAAATAAAAATTATAGAGCTAGGTAATTCCTGTTATTTGTTTTACCTATATACATACAAACATATACCTCCTATATTTTTGTTTACATATATATGTGTTTACATGTGTATGTATTCCAGTTCTTTATCTCCTCTCGTTCTGTTTTTCTGTTCATACATTCTTTAGGGTAGATAATCTTATAAATCTGTGTGTAAGTTACAGAATGCACTTGAATGAGAAGGCAGATTACTACTCGCTTCTCTGGTCATGAACACAGTTAATAACAGGACTCATTTCTTGCCTTGGCCATTATCCTCCTTGGCTGTATCTACAGTGAGTTGAAGAAAATTCTTCCCCTGAGTGTAACAAGGTTTTCAGTCTCTTGTGTCCTCATAGTATTAATTTATTAAACTCGTTATATCTACAAACATTGCTGGTAGAGTCTTTAGTTATATAATTCTTTCACAAATTTAGTTAGACCTACAATGCATTGGCTTTATTACTAGCAGTTAACTTTGGTATTTAGTTTTTTAATGACTAAACTAGAAGGATTGACATAACCTGGAGATTAATATGGTGATTGATTGGACTATGTTTCTCTTTTGGGACAGAGGGAAGGCATCTTTGTAAGAAGATGATTAAAACACATTAGGGAAAAGCATGATGATGTTTCTATTTGGTATGGATATTTAAAAATGGAGTGTCCTGAGTAATCTGAAGGGTGAGCTCTGAAGATTTTTTTGTCTGTTGGCCTTAAACTTCTGTGCTGTCCTCTGAACATCCTACTATTTGTGTGGGAAAGGCAGCCTGTAAACCGTATATCCCAGAGCTCCTTGCCAGCTGCCTTTCTGCTAGTTTTCACTTAGGTGCTGCCATTGAGAGGCTGGAGCACTGATATCAAAAGGAGCAGAAGGAAACCTCCATTATTTTCTCTCTGTGGAGGTGTAACAGCAGGAGAACTTCCAGGTGATTGCAGGCTCCTGGATTTAAACCCGGGAATAAACATGATTCCAACAGCAGCAATAGGGAATTATTTAGTAGCATTGAGCTCATGAGTTCTGGCTCTGGCAACCACAAGGGCAGCAGAAGCAGCAGGTGACTAGACTGGTTCTCACAGCCCTAGGAAGAGAGTGTGTTCCTGGCTTCCTCAAAACAAGTTGTGCATAGCAGTTTCAAACAACAGCAGTGGTAACAGAAGCTTGTGGTCCAACAGCTTTTACACATATTGTTAGTCTTACTTAGTAATGCTCTTTCCTCTTCACTCTAATAAATGTCTTACTTTTGTAACCATTCCCTATATGAATTTATTCTTCGTTCAGACACTTAGTATGATTATTTTTTCCTGTCTCTATGCTAAATGATTGAAATGTACATTACCATTTATTTAATGTTGAAGAACATGAAAAACAATTCCTTATGTTTGCATTGAATATAATTGTCAAAAAAGGTACTCAGAAATGGTAAAATTCAAAATAGAGAATACTGGTGTGACTGTTAAGCTTTGTGTCAAGTTGAGTGACTTGGGAGCCTTCCAGGGGATTGGTGCAGCACACTTCTGTGTGTCTGGGTGGGTCATGGAGGTAATACCTCAGAGTAATACCTTGGAGGGCCAAGGAGTAATGCCTTGGGTATTACTCATATAGCTTATCCCTTGGCTCTTCCTCTTGGGTACTGTTCCCTTGCTCTGCTTCCTGGGCACTCCATGAACTAGACAGCTTTGCTCTGCCATGCCTTTCTGCCATGATGTTTCTGCCTTGAAGCCAGCTGATGATGGACTGAATCCCCTGAAACCATGAGCCAAAGTAAACCTCTTCTTCTTTAAGTTGTGAGTATCAGGTATTATGTCCCAGGGACATGAAAGCTGACTAGTACAGAAAATTAGTATGTACAGTGCCCATTGCTATGACTGAAACTACCACAAATTGTGGCTGTTGAGTACTGTGTCCCAGAGATGGGAAAATTGATTGATATAACTAGTTATGAAGAGGAGGACCAGGAATACATTTGAGAATACATGCCACACTTCAACTATGATGATAGTATTTTATTCCTATTTCTAGATAGTAGAAAAACATTCATTAGATTACTTATGATTCTTTATAATTGAGATATAACACATTGAGATAAAGACCAACAGTAAGAGAGATGATACACCAACAAGTAATCTTTATACAGACTATTTCCAAGATTTAGCTATTATGAATTATGCCTATAAAAATGGATATGCATGTATCACTGTAATATGGGGTCTTTAACCTTTTCAGAAAGAATAGGGAATAGCTGGGTCAAATGGAATTCCTAATTTCAATTTTTTGAGGAATCTCCACACTAATTTCCATAGTGCCTGTACCAGTTTACATTCCCACCAACAGTGCAGAAGGGTTCCTTTTCCCCAAAGCCTCTCCTGCACCTTGAAACCATAATGTTAAGTGAAATAAATCAGACACACAAGATTAAATATTACACATTTTTCTTATATGTGAAACCCAAAGTATAAGTAAAGAGCAAAACAAAAGACAGGCAGTAGGAAGTAGGAATAGATCTTTCTCAAAGGACAAGAAGGACCAAGAGATGGAAGGAGGGGAGGGATGGGGAAGGAATAAAGGAGTAAGATGTGCTGTATGCATGGACCAGCTTCACACCAGGAATGTAATCATTATACACTGCAAACATGTAGAAAAACAAAAAGGAAGAGGATCAAGATCTGGGTAGAAGTGGGAGGAAGTGAAAGGAAAAAGGATGAAAAAAGAATTAAGAAGTATTACGTGTCTGTGTCAGCTGCCCACAAGGATTGTAAACATCACGGACTACAAACATGTACTACTAAAATTTTTTTAAAAACAAGTAATCTTCTAAATTACTCATAGAGATTGTTAAAAAATAACTTCAAATATTTAATTAGCAAATATTTCATAGAGGTTAAAGTCTGTTGTAGAAAAGGAATCATTAAATCATTATGTGTTTATAGGTTGTAATTTAGAATAATGAAAAATAAAATGAACTCAGAATAAATTAAGATTTGCTTCAAAATGATTATAATGATGATATATTTGTCTCCAAGACACTTATTATTGTCTTCTTTTTTTTTCTTTTTACATTTTAGGTATTGTGTTTGGTCTTACTGACGTGAGCAATAATGACTTTGAACAACACCATATTCTGACAACCACTGAGAAATTAGCACTGACACTCAGTTATGATATTTCTTCTTGCCTGCTGGCACTATTTATAGCATACTATGGAGGCAATGGAAGCAGAACAAAGTGGATTGCACTTTCCTCCTTTTTAGTAGGATTTGGATCACTTTTACTTGCTTTTCCATACTTTGGTGTTAAAAAATATGAATCAGAGGTAAAAACTGAAGGTAAGATTTCCAAATATGCTGTGATACATCAAATGAGTATTCATTTAAACCACTGGCTCAAGAAAGTTAAAACAGTCCATGATACCTGTCTATATATCCATCATCCAGACTGATTTATATAACCAAGTTTATTAGCTACTGTAATTAGTGAAATACTGTAATGTCGTGATCATACGGGCCTAGAGAAGAAAGGAAAGAATATTTTGGAGTAATTACTCTGTGAACTTATTTCTCTTTTGTGAATTTTCATATATGGTATGAACTTGAGAACTATGGTATTTCCTTTTGTTTTCCACAGTATGCTTTAATTAACCCCTTTATCTTGTCTCACTGTCAGTTTTCTGTCCCAGAACTATGAACCGATGCACTCAGCTGTACACTTTTCCTTTATCTGCACTTGAACACTTGATGAGCCCTACAATGAATTTGTGTCTGTCACCTTCAGTTGCTAATTTTACTCTCAAACTGATCCGTTCACCCAAACAATTTTTTTGTACACTCTGTTCCATAATTCTCAAGGAATTTAGGCTTTTGTCACTTAACTCTTCTATTCTGCATTGGATGGAAAGTACGTGTCAAAATAAAACTGCTTTAATTTTTAAACATAGTTATTAATTTCACCTATATTTGCATGTTAGTGTTGTTTGCCTCTTTCCTGTTAAAGTGGATGTGATTCCTGCTAGTAAACATTCAGTGCTTCCTTGCTCCTTGGAGAATTTGTTACATTAGTGATCACCTTTTCAATTTCTGAAAATCCTTACTTTGCATAGGTTCTCCCTCCTGGCACTTAAATGTTCTTAAGTTTTTCCCATTCTTAAACAATGATAACAATAGTTGTTGTATCTGTTAGTCTTATTTTTTTTTTATTACTTTTGCAACCTCCTTATAAGCAAAATGCTTGAAGGAATTGTTCATGTTTCCTGATTTTATCTAGTATTCTTTGTTCAGACCACTTTAGCATGGCTTCCACCATAAATGCTGCAACAAAATTCTTTTCAAGAACTCATCAACCTGATTCATGCTATTTAACATTGGTTATCTTTTTGAACTTTTATGTCAGATTTTGTGATAAGTTTACTCCTTCCTACTTGAATTCTCTCCCCTTTTGCTTGGGATTTATAGTAACCACATTATTTTAGTTGAAACCAAAGTTATTTTTAGTGTGAGTAAGGATACAAAAATTACCTTTATTAAATGATTTAAAAACATTGCTTTTTTCAGATGTCAGTCAACAGGAAGTTTAGGACTATTATCTCTAGGAGAAAGGATACAAACAAGTTGAATTTTTTAGGATAAAAGTAATCAGGCTAGAAGCACTTTTTGTGATTATCAGGAACATTAAGGATCTCCTTGAATTCATTCATAATGCATTCACAGTGGGATTTTAGTGGTTGTGTTTTTTTTTCTCCAGTCACAACCAACTTTAAAAGAGATAATAGAGTAGGGTTGCAATTTTACTAAGAGATTGAATTATGTAGGGTAAAAAAGCAAAGTAATGCAAAAGTTAAGATGATAAAGACAGAAGTAATGACATAAGAGGACATTGGGACAGTGACAGGAATTTTCAAATGATAATTGGTCCTGGTGAGTTTTTTTTTTTTTCTTTTTTTTCTTTTTGGTACTGGGGATCGAACTCAGGTCCTTGGGCTTACGCAGCAGGTGGCGAAACCACTGAGCTAAATCCCTGGCCAAACAAGAGGACACTTTTTTTTTTTTTTTTTGTACCAGGAATTGAACTCTGGTCCTTGCGCTTGCAAGGCAGGTGTGGGAACCACTGAGCTAAATCCCCGGGCCCCTGTTGAGTTTTAAGGATAATTGGAACTGGGTTACTGAAAAGCGTGAAATGGAAAGATACGGGTAGATGGGTAGAAATTCCAATTAGGGAAGCTGTGTCCTTTGACATTGAAAATGAGCAGCTAAGACAGGTAGAGTACAAAGAATGAAAGGAAAAATTGTCCACAATGAATGTATTAATTCTGTCTCAGAAACATATACTAATAAAAGCGGGACTCAAAGAACTAAGAGGCAGGGTGTTGAAAATATCACACACTAATATTGATATCATTACCAGTCAATATGTCTGTATAAAAGGAACAGGCATCATTTTACCCACAATTCTAGAGACCTCTTTTCATTCGTTACAGAGTCAAATATCATTCCATGGAAACCAAACCAGATGAAAACTTCCATTGGTGTACTATGTTGTCATCTGTACTTTCCACAATAATGTTGGAAGAGTATTTGTTACATTTCAACCCCAAACCCACAGTCAAGATGATCTAATAGTCGTGATCACCTAGATCTATTAATCTAATAACAAATGCTATTGCACAAAAATTTACTTAGTGCTGTTTTATAGGCATACAAATAAAAAAATGTATAAGAAATATCCTGCACCCTAAAGAATTTTAAAATATCATAGCTGGATGTGCATATAATTTCTAACTTTAGAAGAAAGAAATTTTTATCATGTAATGCTTTGTCCTTATGATCCTATGTTCTAGAATTTAGTGGATCTAAAATGGAAAATTACTTAATCAGAGTGACACAATTAACTGTAAAGAGTGCTAAAGAAATGGACATAGAACTAAATGTAAGTTAAGCTTTGATAATTGAGATAATCCAGGGCATTAGAAATATTTTTATTCTAAGGGCAAAAGTTAGAACAATAGCATACAAAGTTAAGAGGAAAATGAGGCCAGGCACAGTCATGCACGTAGTCCTAGCTGCTTGGGAGGCAAAGGCAGGAGAATCTCGAGTTTGAGGCCAGGCTGGGCTACAGAGATCCTGTCTAAAAAAATAAAATAAAGAAGAGGAAAGTGAGTGTGTGTGTGTGTGTGTGTGTGTGTATATATATATATAATATGTGTGTGTACTGTAAATGTGAATGTATAAAAACACACCTAGGCATACATAATTGTGGGTACACATATAATCATGCATGTATATTTATACTTACAATACATGCATCTTTTAGTTTATAATACATGCATCTTCACCAGTATTATCATAAATATTACCTTATAATGGCATTTTTCTGAGAACGTGATGTGTATTTGACTAAATTTCACATAAATTAAATATTATCTAAAAGACAAAAGCGTAACAGTGGCAACAGCCTGTAGAAGGAAAATATTTGGTAAAGACTGCTGCATGTTTGTTGTATATTTAAGTTTTGAATTCTATTAACAAAAATAAAACTCTTATCTTTTCAAAAGATATTTGCAGCATGGCAAAGTCTCTCCATCCCTGCCTGAAAAGCAAATCATCATTCAAAACAAAATACATCAGTTTCTTCATCCTCGGACAAATAGCTCAGGGAATAGCAGGAATGCCTCTTTATATCCTTGGGATAACCTTTCTTGATGACAGTGTTCCCACGCACTCATCTGGCATCTATTTAGGCAAGTTCTCTCTCTCACCAATCTGATTTATCTATTTTTAATTTTCATTTGTTCTGCAATTTGGTATGTGTATTTTAACAGATATAGTGTACTAACTACTGGCCCTGTGATACATTGTAATACCTAACTTGTATGCTTACTGCAAAATCACACTGGAGAATGTGGATATAGCTCAGTAGTAGAATGAGTAGAGTGCTTACAAAGCATGCACGAAGCCCTGGGCTTGTTCCTCAGCAGCACCAAAATAACAAAACAAAGAAAACAAAAAACCCAATCACACCACATCCCCTAAATCTGCTACTTAAAATTTGGAATTCTAGAGAAGTTTTCTGACATTCATATGAATGCCACTGAAAAATATAGAACAACAGGAAGAATACATTTCTAGGTATTGAAAATATCCTTTAGATAGACATATATGCACACATGGACACATGTTGTGTATATATTCATGCATATATCATGTATGCATGTATTCTTTTATATATGTATGTATAAATCCATATATCCATGTCATGCTATACAAGCTGTAGTTCTTTTCTCTAGAGAAATATCTTCAGTTGCGGAATTCAAGAGGCTGAGTCGTTGTAGTTTTTAAACTTTGGGTATGCACATGAAAGCTGTTGCTTCATATTCATTAGTGAGCAGGACATTGTTATATGGCTCCTTAGTAATAGATTCAGTGCGATCCTGAAATAATCATCACATTCAAGTCTCATTACACCTGTTAGCTCAGTCTTTTTGGAACATGTGATATTCTTAAGCTAATTGAAAATTTCCTTGAAAGAGGGATATTGATATGCTATTTAATTGAATTTAGTGGAGCCTATCTTTTTCACAATGTCTTTTGCTACTGTATCCACAACAATTATTTTGGCTGTTTCTCAGAATAATTTATCTTTTTTGCTATTGTAATAGATTCTGGTTCTGGTATATCATCTATTTTTACATGGTTATCTAAGCATAAATTTTGAAGAAAAATATAAAATCATTTTTATATACTTAATATAAAGGTGATTTAAATGTAAACCTTATTTTGGACTGAAATAATCATTTTCCACCACATATAAGAAAATTCATGTCAATAAACTCACAAGATATTTATATTTAAATCAATTTTATAAAAAATGTTTGCAGTATTGGACAAGAAGGACAGCAAATTTGTTTCTTTTATTTTTGACTCTAATGAATGGCAATTGAAACACATGACTCCCTAAAGTAGAGAGAGCCCAACTGTATCATCACTCCCTGCCACCTTGGCAGTTAATGCTAGGGATGCAAAGGCGATGATGTAAAACTATCATCTTGCTATATAGTACACTGTTAAAGAAAATATGGAGTATCGAACTTATATTCATCTTAAATGTAAAAATATTTGTTACTATAAATATATACATTAAGTAGGGTATAATGAATTATATAATCAAATTATCTGAGTTTGTCTAACCTTGATTGGATAGTATGTGTGATGATGAATTTTATGTGTCAACATATCTAAGTTATGGTACTCTGCTGTTTGGTCAAACACTAGTTTAGATGTTTCTATAGTGATACTGTTTCACATTTACAGTTAATAAACTTTGCATAAAGTAGGTAAGATGGCTGGGGCTCATCCAATTAACGGAAAGCTCTAACTGTAAAGACCAAAATTTCCCTTATAGAAAGCAGTCCTCCCTCAAGGCTGTAATCTCAACTCTTGCTTGAATTTCTATCCCGCTGACCCACTCTACCAATTTGGGACTTGTTAGACCTCATAACTGCATGAACCAATTCCTTAAAATGCCTTTCTCTCTCCCTCTCTCTCTCTCTGTCTCTCTCATCTCCCTTCCTTCCTCCCTGTCTTCCTTCCTCTATTTCCTTTCTCTCTCCTATATAAAAGCATCTGTTTCTCTGGAGAATGCTAATACAGAGTGGTATGCAAAGCTTTCCAAAATAATCCATTTAAATTAATTAATTTTTATCATCTGTAACAAAGCTGGCTTAAGAGGGCAGTTCATGTTCAGTATTCATTTTACAGGCATTGCAGATGCTGTAGCAATGGTAGGCTATGGTTTGGGTTTTGCAGTAGGAGCACCACAACTTAAGTCCTCCCAGAACAGTACTTCTCCAGCAGAAAGGTAAGCCATTTTCTTTTAGTTTTTATGTATAAAGTATTTGTTGAATTAATACTATAGGTTATAAATTATATATTTAATTAATAATAAACATATTGTGAGAATCTATGCAAATGTGATGGATATGGATATATAAGTTAAAAACAAATGGATTAAAATATACATTTATATTTTTCTTGCTCAAAATATAACTAAAACCAGACTTATTATGATAATCTTACTATTACTTCATCATGTGGCTTTTGTTGTTGTTGATAAAAAGCACACATCATCTTAATCATTTTAAGTGTACAGTACAGTATTTTTAACTATATTCTCATTGTTTATAAAGGTTATGTAGAATTTTTTCATTATGCAAAACATATTCTGTATCCACTTAACAATTTAACAACTCCCTTTTCCCTTTTCTCCCCAATCCCTGGTAATCATTATCCTACTTTCTGTTTAGAAGACTTTGACTATTTTATTTTGTTTTATTTTTTGAGATGGGGTCTCACTGTGTAGTTCAGGCTGACCTTGAACTCATGGCAATCCTCCTACCTCAGCCTCCCAAGTGCTGGGATGACAGGCATGCATCACCACACCAGGTGACTTTGACTACTTTAGACACTTTATATAACTGTTATCACATGGTATTTATCGTTCTGTGACTATAACTGGCTTGTTTCACTTTTGAAAAAATTCTCAATTTTTATCTATGTTGTAGCATATGACGGGATTTTATTCTATTTTTTAATTGAAAAAATTCCATCGTATACAAATACACATTTTCTTTATTTGATAGATTTTTAAGTTGTTTCTACCTTTTGATTGTTGTGAACACTGCTGCAAAGGCACCATTGAGGTTTTGCTTTCAATTCTTTGGGGTATATATTGAGAAATGTTATTGCTTGACTGTGACAAATTTAAAAACCTTTTTGTGAAGAACTTTTGCACTGTTTCTTGTAGTAGCTCATCAATTTACATTTCCATCACATATACAGAGTTTCAATTTTTCCACATCCATCCTTAACAACATTGTTACCTTCTGTTGTTTTTTTTAAAAAAAATTTAAATTAATTTTATTGGTACATTTAAGGTATACAATGTACTGACATTCATCATTGGAAATTTGCACCTTTACATAATCCAACTTGGTTCTTATTTTTTCCCCATTCCTCTGCCCTCCCTTCAACTCCTCCACGCCTCCCTATCTACAAAGACTTTGTTTCCATTTTTTCATTTTCTCATATTAATTCCATTCCCTTCTTTCCTTTCTCCTACCCCTCCCACTTCCCCTTGCCCTTTGCCCCTTTTGTCCCTATTTCACATAATCTATTATACTTTTTAGTCCTGATTTACACTTTCAGTTTCTCACACTAGAGAAACTATTCAATATTTACACATGTGTGTCCTATTTATTTCACTTAAAGAGTATCGACTCAATGTGGATCCATTTAGCTATAAATGTCTCTAATTTCTTATTTTTGTGGCTGAGTAGTAATCCATTTTATTAAAAAACCCCCACATTTTCTTTATCCAGTCTGCAGTTGATGGACATTTGGGCTGTTTCCAAGTTTTAGCTATTACAAACTGTGCTGCTATGAACATGGGTGCACATATATCACTGTGGTATGATTC